CTACAGGTAAGCAAAACTTCCTGCCCCTCCCTTTTCCCAGTCGCTCAGTTGCTCACAAAGCATAGACGAAATATGATTCGATGGTCCAAAATTCCCGGAACCGGATCGGCTTTGCAAAGAGTCTTCTCCCTGCCACCCACTATGAGTTCTCGATCGGAGGTCACTGGCCATACAAGCGATTCGAAGGGATAGTCGACAAGATTATCGACATCATGGACATCATCGTCGGTGAAGTCTCGGCCGATCCCGTTCTCGCGGTCCACATGAACCGTAGCACAGCCTGCGCAAGTGTGCGAACCAAGCTTTTAGCAACACTCTGCAACGATCTGCTGGTGATTTCGCACACTCTTTCGGCACGGTTATTCATGCCCCGTCACCCGAGTTTGTCGAACCACGTCTTGCATGAATACATGCACTCTCTCCTACTTCAGCTCCATGCTATGCCCTCAGACTCCACTGCAGCAAAGGATTATGTGGATGTCGGAAGACTGGCAGATCTGGTTCATGAGATGGATCACCTGAGAACCATGGTCGATGAACTTACCACCGAAACTCAGTGTCCTAAGAACGGGCTTAGGCCACATTTGAGCTTTGTTAGGAGGAGTAGACCTTCGACGGCGGTTACGAGAAGGAGTAGACCTGGTACTCCTGGCAATTCCACGCCAAGAGGTTATGGCGCTGCTACCCCTCCTTCTAGGAGTCGGGCACCTAGCGTGCTGGAGTTGGATCTAAGGAGTGGCAGACGCACACCTGATGTTGTTGAGTTGGATCTTAGTGGTGGAAGATGCTCAGGGAACGATGACAGAAACGACCAGCAGAGGGATGGATATGGTCATACCAGTGAGGAAACGATTACGCAAGGTAGTGATGAGAACGTTTAAAATTCAGGAGTCGTGCATTTCATTTCTTGCCATTTCATGGTTGGGTTTTAGGGTGGAAACGGGCTGAGTTTCATGGGAGTTTTTGTACTTGTTTGGGTTGGCTATATGGCTGTCTTACGAAGTTTGAAACGATATCAATGACACGTAACAGTTGTTTTTCTTATTTGCTGCATGCTTGTGGGAGTTTGGTTGGTAGATATACTGGATATTGGGTAGACTAGATGGATTATGCATGCAACTGATAAATCTCGAGAGGTGACCGAGCGAAGAGAATAACTGAAACTCACTCATCTCTGCAGTCGTGAAGGAGGGGATCTTATTTCTGCACTACACTAACTGGCATCAACGGGCCACTTATTAAAAAAATCACAGCGCGGTCGATCCCTTTTTTTTTTTTTCAAATATCAAATACCCAAGTATGATGGGTCTGCCGCGGCCGGACGACGTTCCAAACTACTCAATTGCGACCACCACCACCACGGCCCTGCCACCCGGTGATAACTTTGTGTCATTATGAATTGGTTGAATATATGTGATCGCAAACCCGTCGAAAATTTTGAGTCGGCGACGACGATGAGTTTAGGCCCCCCCTCCTTTATCTCACTCAAAGCGCATCACGTCCTCACAGGATCAAAGCTGCCGGATCGGATGGCTGCCACTCTGGGGATAACGCATCATACTGATCCTTTATAGGGGGTGCAGGAATATTCGCTGTTTTATCTACAGCGTTGCTCCACTAGATACATTAGGCTGATCGTCGGTCTGTTTTCAAATATACTAGTTACCTGAAACCGCGTGGGTGTTGGTCTTGTTGCTGCTAGGTATGTAATCATTGCGTCCGCGAGGTCAAAGCTGGCTGGCTGGTGTGTCCTATATGTATGCAGGAGAAGAGTTGGGCCCCCGGGGGGAGGGTGATCATCTATGATTCGACATAATTAACGCGTCAACGCAGGGCGCTTCACTGCGACAGGGGGGGTTTTTTTGATAACATCCGGAGGATTTTTGGAAACTGGATCACGCAGCAGTAGCAGCAGTTTAGAGAAACGGGGTGTCGCTGGGGGTCGGCCAACACGCTTTGGCGTGACCAAAACAAAAGCTCGAGATATGTATCTAGGGGGGAAATTTAAAGCCGTCCGGTTCTCAGTCTGCTTTTCCCCCTCATGATCAGCTAGGTTTACTGAGTATCAGAGACACTTTCAAACAAACGAACCTAGCTAGCTAGCCGCTGGAAGAAAGTTGTACGTCTGCCTAACCACTGCACACGCATGAATAAGGTCTCCACCGGCTGTCGAATATCTATCCTTACTGGATATGTACCATTCTGGCAGCGGCTGGAAGAGATCGGATCTACTTGTGGATATTCACAGGTAATCACTCGGTTCTTCTTCTCCACTACAGATGCGCGCGGCTTGGGACTTCTTACCTACTTCTGTATTTCATGTCCGAGCCCGGGAGGTAAATTTCAGTGGCGCCGCTGGGGTTTTGCGGATGTAAAACATTGCGGTGAATGAGTGGATGAGTGATCAAAAATGACCAACGATGAGTTGAATTTTGTTGGCGCGACTGACTCCCCAATCTTTGACCACGCTTTGAAATTTCGAGCCGAAGATAACGGCTGGCGGGTTCAAACCTCCTACGGCGCCTGCACCCGCGAACTGTTCCTTCTCCCACGAACCTACATAGGAATCTACGACTGTCACAGCAGCGTATCAAAGCGTCTCAGCGCCTCAACATCAGCTCCGTCTGCGCATGCGCATGCCCCCTTCATCTTTGCCGTCACGCAACGGGGCATAGCCACCGTTAAATACCCCCCCATTCCCAACTCTCAACCGTTGATTACGTCTTCTGAAACATCACCATGATCAATCCGTTTCAGCTTGCTTCCGACGACGATCCGTTGCTATTCTTACCCTTACTTCCCTCCAGGAGAAGGCCAAAGCACTGTCGATCACGACTCGATCACTCCAGTTGCATACAAACCACAATGTAGGGGAAACGGGGTGTGCATGCGTAGGGTGATATCCCGTGATCCACGCAAAAAAAAACCAAACGCGTCAGCTGGCTGGCTGGGCAGGGCGGTGCTTTTTATATCATCCCCGCGTGCGTCGATCGCGAAGGGGGGGGGGGGCAACAATGTTCTGGATGGATGGATGAGCAAGAACAAGTATTATGCTTTGACTTTGACTTTGAATTACTTGCGCACATGAGTACAGTCTGGCAGTGGCGCTATCAACCTTCTACAATCTGTTCAATCTCGGTGTTGAGAAGGCCCGGTTGCTCCCTTCCCATGCGCTCACCAGTGTTTTTTCTGTTCGTTAATGCAGCCGAGCCGTTGGCCAGCCCCGCTGCCGCAATGTCGGTAGTGCCTCCGCCTGCTCTCGACTCTGCATCCACTCCGAAACCTCAGCGAGCTTCAGTCGGCTCGCTCGAAACCTGCGGCAGCGCTATGGACTGGTCCACATCTTCTCACTGTCCCTGTACGAGATCGAGAAAGCTTTTTCTGCGTGCCGGCCCGCTGGTTCTTTGGGTTGCATGGTTTCTGGGTGTGAGCCGGGCGCCCGGTCGGGCAAAGACGGGCGGCGGTCGGATGCCGCGCGGAGGTTATTGTGGGCTTGTTGTTCGGCTGCGGGAACAAGTGGGCGTGGTATATAGAGAAGATGGAGATGAAGTGCAGTCGCTTTCTTCACGCAGCCTTTTTTGTGTACTGCTTTTTGCACCCGCTATCACTCGACTTTTGAACCTGACATCTCCGTCCCGCCTCGGTCATTGCGTGTGCTTTGAGTATTTCCCACATCCTCCCCCCAACTTTCGAATCTCGAGGCGATGGCAATGCAAAAAGGCGCAAGCTCAAATGCGGTCAGAAGAAGAAGAAGGCCAAAGGCAGTCTGGGAAACTCATACTGTATACAAAGGAAGAAAAAAAAACGAAGCAAAAGAACCCTGAAGCTCTCCACGCCAGAACAGACGACCAAACGAAAGGATAAGTATTACCAGCGAAGATGAGACGCTGCTGGTCCGGAGAAATACCCTCCTTGTGCTGGGCCTCGCTCTTTACGTTGTCGATGGCATCGGAAGACTGCAACTATTTTATTGTGGTTGTTGTTAGCAGCCGTGACAAATAAACATTGTAAAAGCAGCGACAAGCTAGCTGCTAGCTTACCTCGAGGGTCATAGTCTTGCCGGCCAACTTGCGGGTATCATCGAGGGATTTCTTTGTACTGCCAGCCAATGGCTGCTTCAGGGACATGATCAGCACCGTTAGCTAGATCCTGCTATGCCGCGGCCCAATCTATGTCCATGGTCAAACTCATTGTCGGATGTTTGTGGGATAGCTTTGTGACGTTCGAGTTTGAGAGTATGGCGTTCGGGTTTGAGGGTGTTACCAATGTTCACGATCGACTTCGAGAGAAAGCTTGGGCATATAAAGTTTTGCACATTTCATTAACGTTGATCGTTGTAAATCTATTGTTGGCGCCTCCTGGTCGTTGTAAGTTTACACAGTTTACCCCTGGTCGTTGTAAACCTATCTTTGGCGTTGAACATTACGATTGTGTATAAGGGCCCGTCTGGATTTGCGATATTTAGGAGATAATGGTCATTTGGCCTAAATATCATATTGAGGGTGTGTGGCGAAATGAGCCCCGTCAGCATCGCTGTGATGTCACCGCTCCCGCCCACTTCTACAAGACAACCCCACCGCCCGGCTGCCGCCTCGTCACTGCTCACTTCCTGCGGCTGAATCCAAACGACCCCCTCTTTAGCGAAAATATATTTTGGCCAAATGACCATTATCTCCTAAATACCGCGAATCCAGACGGGCCCTAAATGAAAAATCCACAGACGGGGCTGAATTATGGGGCAAACCCACCAAAAACGAAGTCAATTTTGTCCGAACACCGATAGGTAGAGTATAACTACCGTGAATAGTAACCACGCTGTCAACAGCCTTTCTTCCACCACGTGGAAGAACGAGGCATTCTCCGTTCCCGCGTGTATGCATGCATGAAGGTTTTAAACCCAACCTTGTTTGACGCAAAAAAAAGCCTGAAACGGTGTGTGTGTGACATGAAATAGAAGAAGGGCAAAGACCAAAAAAAAAGGCCAGAGCCAGTTAAGTGAGCGATACTGGCAGGACTCGAACCTGCAGCCTTTGGCAGGATCCAAAGCCGAACCGAAGCTCGAACACCGGAAGCCAACGCGCTACCATTGCGCCACAATACCCGACTGTGTTTGTGATTTGAGGAGATGGCCCTGTGAATAATAGATGCACCCTGATATGATTACGACGATGGCTGGGAAAATTTTAATAGGAAAAGATTTATTTAGCTCACGGGTTTCTTGGAGATTGGAGCGTCTGTGCGGGGGTTTCCTATCGGCCTATCAGGGTCTCAAATTTCAGTGCCGAATATCGTTGGACAATATGTTGAGATGGTGAGGCCATAGGCAAATGCTCACATATCAGAAGGCGGGCATGAAGCAAGGAGTCCGGCCGCGCGGTAAAAACCTCGACCGTTGAAGCGCCAAATCCTGTATGCCCAGAGTTGAGCCGGTTCGGTATCCAACGACAATCGCCGCGAGTCTGACCGCTCCGCCGAGAAAACAAGCAACCTGAAGCTTAGGTACCTGTATCTATTAAGCAAGCCGTAGACCCCACGAAAAGTGTCCGGACCATCCATATAACCGACACCAAAAGTCCCCTCTGCTCCACACACTTCCCACACCTCCCCGCCTTTCCAGGGAAGCAAGCCCATGGCCCAGCGGAGATCATCCGGAACCAACGGAATCAATAGACCCGGTAGGTATATGATCTGCGATTTCCATCATGCCGCAGTAGCCGTTCACTACCCATACCCGCGCGAGGAAAATCTACCAAACTATACATCGAGATTAAGTTACCTGCTTAAAGATTAAGTAAGTAATGTTCGTGCCCTAGTGTGGGAAGTATTTACCATCAAATTGAAGATATGCCGCTTTCCCGTCTCCCCGCGGCACCGGCAAAACGGAAAACCGAACCCGCACGACGGGCGGCCACCGGGCGGCAGCGTGGAAAGGCGGGGAAAGGCGCTTACCTAGCGCTGCCCAGAGCTGGAATGAGGAACGGTCCGAGACATCTGTGCGGACCTCAAGTTGCTGACGACAACAGCGCTTTGGGAAAACACGCAACGTCGGAAAAAGGAGATTTGCTAATCGTTGGATATAAAAGTCCTACCAGCAAGGTGTGAGGGCGATGATCGGGCGGAAATAAACCCTGATGCGGACAGATCGGTGGAGAGGCGATCCCCAGACCTATGCCGCTGCTGGCTGGACCGACTTCTCGGCGGGTGTATGTGCAAAAAGCAATGGGGCGAAATTCTAAATTCTTAATTTTCTGTGCAAAAGGCGGGGTTAGTGGGGCCAGCACATCAGAGGGTCCGAGGCGTGTTCCAGGCGGAGTTAGACTCTCGCCACGGTTCCCTGTGTCAGATGAATTCGATACTCTATCTCGACGTCTGTTGTCTGGACCTGACGCTGGCCACGGTGTAGCTAAACTGCTGGACAACTGCCGGTGCAAAAACGCAAAAGACCGACGGAGACAGGTTAAGACAGCTAATTCTGCAGCTGGTTCCCCCCACGAACAAATGCCCATCGCGCCATCACCATGCCCGACTCTTTGCGCTGGCATCTCCAGCCTCCCAACGCACGTCGAGTGATGGATCGAGAAACAACCGGAATACCGGCTAGATAAGAATGTCGTGTCGAATGTTGACACAAGGCCTGATTCACATATTGCATACATGTCCTCACAGCCCCCCTTATGCTCTCCAGACCGACCTGATAGTTGAAAATTTTCGTAGCTAGAGTAGCGTGTTGAGTCTAGCTAGGACGTTTCAAGGAACCCGAAAGAAACGTGCAGGGCGCTTCTTTGTCAAAGCACTGGCCTTGAATAAAAATTTCAGATGAGCTTCGGAAGAAGCCTAAATCCAACCAGGTCGGATCTCCCGTGTATAAAATTCGTTTCTCCAACAAACCGTCGTGTCGAGGGGCTCGTCAAGGAATGTCAGGAGAGGGGTCCGCATAGGTTGACCAAATAGAGTCCGCATATCCAGCCATCGCAGCTGAGGGGGATCCACACCGGGAGTGAATATGCCCACATGTCAGGATGGAAATCGCTATCATTCCCTCAGTTGAAACCGCCAGGACGGGGGAGCTGACGAGGTGCAAGCCCAGCTGTACTTAGTACCGATGTGACTACAACATGTACCGTTATCTTCTCTGCGGACAGAGGTGCTTATTTAACCCTTGACCCGCGACGAGGATTGAAGGGCCCTTGAGAATGCATTGCGATTCGCTCAGCGTTCGAATTCGTTTTTTTCATCAAAGGGTGTGAGACATGTCGACAGCGGGACATGAGAGAAGCGATAGGGCCAGATAGCCTGTCGATAACTTCCGGAGCAGTGTGGACCTACTAGATCTGTCGCAGAGCCACCGTGGCCGACCGGAACTATGTTTTTCCGCGCATACGCTACGTCGCCCCGGGTACGGAGTAGATGCAGTATGGGATGGATGTAGCTGTTCGATGTAAGGTGTTGAGGGAGATTGCGGGCGTTCTGGAACCATTCCCGAGTTCTCGGAGGCGAGGCGAGATAGGAGGCTCTTTTTGAAAAATCTGCACCGTGCTATTTGTGGATGCCAGTCGCCACCGTCGTCGTCGTCCGCGTCTGCTCGGCGCTTCTGGAAGGAAACCTGGATCTTTCGTTCTGATGGCGGCATGGTCACACCTTATTACTGCACACACCTAAAAACCACGTTGCGGCGTGAGGTGGGTGGTACAACAACAACGGGAGATGGCCCAGCTGTGAGCATTGGAAGGGCAGAGGTCTCGGGTATGCAGTAGCGCGGCCAACGTTGCGTTGGATCTGAAGCTGCTTGCTTGCTTTTTGCGGGACCGTTGTTTTTTTTAGCAGGCGGAATAACCATCATGCTCATCGCAGTTCGCTGGTCGCGACAACAACGTCGAGATGATATCGATGTCTGCGCCATCAATCGTTTCCCGAAAGCCGTGTGCATGCGGTGGATGAGGCACTTTGCGGCCCACCCAGAGTGTTTTCTTTCCTTTGCGCGGTTCCCAGTCCTGTTTCCTTGCTTATCCGATCGGACCGGCTGTGTATCTATGGCTCACCACCTTCACTCGACACAAAACAGGCAGACGAAGCCGCGCGATAACAGACGCAATGCTTTCCGATCAGCCGTGCCCTATAATTGTTGAGAAAGCGTGGGGGCTAATCGCCTAAAAACTGGTGACTGATTTAGGCAGAAGATCGCCCTTCCCCCCCCTCCCCCTCGAGCACCGACAAGCAGGTACGATCGGAACCAGAGGCATGCAGCCACGGTGTGGCCCGTCGGGACGTCCAGCAGCTCTACAGACACACGCTGGCTGCTGCAGGCGGTGCCTGAATTGCGCGGCGGACAGAAATTCTGGCCAGGTCCTCCTCCTACATACCTCCTGCAGTTCGACACCACCGCGCTCTCTGGCTGCAGCTCAGGGTTGGCTGCAAGAGCGCTGCTCCTTGCCAATCATCCGGGAATTGAGGGTGTGAAAACAGCCGCTAATTCTCGGAAGACCTGCCTTGCCCGTCTCTGCTGGTTGCTTGGGCTTGGTTGCTGGCTGCTGGCTGCTGCTGCTAGCATGCTGCTGTTTGGCGACGCTAGAGACGATGGTGGAAAGATCGCTGCGCTGATGTGCGTAACCGGTGGAGCTGCTGCTGTCCGTCAACCAACCCTGTGTCCTGGCTTGCTGGTAAAATAGATAGAAAAAGGTGGAATGCATCTCTAGACCGAGAATACCTACAGCCACCACCCCCACCCCCCCCCCCCCCCAAAACCAAAAGATATCTCCCTTTCTCGCCCTCTCTTCTCCCATAACTCCTCAACTACCTACCTCACTTGTCCGTGTCATCTTCAAATCTTACGTCCATATTTGCCTTCGCAGCAAAGAATCATACTGCCGAGAAAAAAATTTAAAAAAAAAACTTCCGTAAGTAATTCCGCCCAAAATCCGCTGCATTATATCTCCGCCCTGCAGCTTTAGCTTCCTTCTCTCGTGGCCCTGATCCAATGACTAACACCTCTTCGTTGGCTTTTTTTTTTGGCAGATAACACACCGAAGCTCCAGACAATCTCAAATCTTCTCCGGATCACCTTAACTCTCTGTTCGCTTTTTTCGGTAACACCTTTCGAGTCTATATTACCAAGCTCTATCGACTTCGGCATATAAACAAAAAAAACAACTTGGCCGGCTCGCAAACTTCGAATTTTCAACCTCCACTCGCACAGATGTCCGGCGGTTCCTCCCCCAACCCTGGGGTGGAAAGAAATCCTTTTCTCGACGAGAATGTTCGTGTTTCGAGCCCTGAAGCGTCGAGCCCTGAAGGAAGCCGCCCGGGTTCGGCGGGTGGCGGGAGGGTCCGATTTGGCCCAGGAGAAGTGGTGGATCCGTCTGGCAACAGGACCACCCTTGGTTTCCGCAATGCCGATTCTCCCTCAGGATTAGGGCCGCTCACGATTTCAGGTCCTTCTTCGCCGGCCCGCATTGATTTGGACCCATATTTTGTGGAGGAAAACCCTGCGCCCAGCTTGATCATCACGGATCCCATGCCCCCCCAAGCTCCCCTACCTGTACCCCCACGCAGCGTTTACAAAAAAGCCCGATTTGATGAGACGGATGAGTTGAATGAGAAGTACGACGACTTTCAGCCTAAAACCTCCCAAGACCGGATGTCAAAGTATGGAGGCAGTTATTCCGCACCAAGCTCCGCTCGTAGTTCACCAACCCTCAATGCATTTTCTGTTGGAGCAGGCCAAGCTCAAGGAGCTGTGTCGGTCGAGAATATCCCCCCATTGAATCTCCACGGCAATCCAGTTACCCCCTCAGGGGACCACATGGAAGACAAGCCTATCATCACAGCTACGACCGAAGCACATGATCTTGTACGACAGCATACCCGCCGGGGGGCTCCACCACGATTCTACGCATCAAAACCCAGCCAGCCGCAGTCAGGATACTCGACGCCCATCGAACATGGACATGGTGATTATGTGGAGAAGCCGGAGCAATTTCGTGGTGGTGTGTTAAGCAGCTTGTTGACCCTGTACAACAATGGGTCCAGTTCAGAAGGACGAGGACACAAGCCAACGCCGAGCATCGCGAGCACGGTGGCTTCTGGCCGAACGACGCCAAAATG